CTTAAAAATTTAGCGATGATTACACTATCCCTTCGTCTAATAAAATATAGTTCGTACTAGTAAAAAAGCTTTGTTTGAAATAATACAATATAAAATTATACACTTCTCTATACAAATTGATTAATAAAATATATTATTTGAATAATACTATTTTTAATATTTTCTCTTTTTATAAAAATTAATATTATAAAATATATAATTACTATAAAAGCGATTTGTTTAATTTTTTACTTTTTTTTTTAAGATTTTTTAACACTTTAATCTATATAAATACTATATACAAATGTTTTTAAAAAATAGAGATTTTAATTCAATTTTAAATATTTTAAGTGCGCGTTAAAAATAAACGCGTAAATATGCATATATTTAAATAATATATCTTACGAATTAATTTGTAGAAAAAAATACATAATTTTATATTGTATTATTTCAAACAAAACTTTTTATTAGTACGAACTATATTTCATTAAACGAAAAAATAATTTCATCGATATTTAATTTAAAAATCGAATAAATACGTAATAAAGAATTACAATACGTAATAACGTAATAATAAAAAGAAAAATTGATTATTTCATATTATCATTATATATACGCACGTAATTTGAATCTGGCCAATCAAAGAACTAAGATTCTCGAATAACTTTAAAATTCTATGTATTTAAAATTTTGATTTTGTAATATTTTTTTTTTTATTTATTACTATATTACACTATCGCGTTTACAATAAATAAAAATAATCAACAATATACTCGAAACAATATAAAAATCAAAAAACATTTCAATAAATTTTTTCTACTACCTAATAAAAAAACAAATCAAATTAAATACAAATACTATAAAAAGCAAAAAACTTGAAATACGATTAATTTTTATACAAAACACTTAATAAAATATTCGAAATACGATAATTAAAAATCAAAAAATATAATAATTATACAAAAAACAATAAAAAATTTCTTTGAAATTAAAAATAAATTCGAAGAATATTTTTTAATTTTAATAATATTTATTTTTATAGTAAACTTTTTTTAATTCGAATCTCTCGAATAAAAAGCTTTTTTTAAAAAGATTAAATTCGAAATTTTTTCGCTTTTTATTTTTACGAATAATTTTTTATCAAAAATCTACAAAAATATTAAAAATCAAATTTTCGACGTAATAAATATTTTTAAGAATATTCAAATTAATATCGACGATTTTTCGAATATTTAAAAAAAACGCGTTGAAAACGTATTTTTTATTATCGATTATATATTATATTATTGAAAAAGTTATATAATTAAAATAAAAACAATTAATTTACATTGATTTATAAGTAATATTCGCGCGATTACTTTAGAAATTACGAAATAAGATTTTACAAAATAAATTGTTTTTTCTACGAATACGAATAATATACAATAATACTATTGAAAGTTGATTAATTAACGAGAAAATTAGAAATATATTCTTTTTATTTTTTGTAATTTTTATAGTTTACAATTAGTTCTTAAAAATTTATTGTAATTATTGAAAAATAAGTTTAAAAATTAGATTTATATTAATATAAACGCGTTTTTCAAAAATTTCTTTAGTATTATTATCTCATATTTCCAGTTTATACTAAAGCAATTAGCAATTATTCGTAATATTATAACAATCTCTAAATATCGATTCAATTATATAATCGTTTAAACGATCGATTAAATAATCTTAATTATAATCTCTATTACTTTTGACAACAATTGCTCTAACGTCTATTTTTTAATCTTACGTCTACTCTATTTAATTATATAAATAAAAAAATGCCCCTTCTAAAAAAAAGCAAACAAAATTGAATTATTGATATCAAACTAAAATCTTAATATTTCGTAATTTGTTTTCGAACGTTTTAATACTAAAAAAATCAAAGTTTTTATTACAACAATTTTTATACATTGAAATACTTAAGTTCAATAAAACGAATTAATTTTAAAGAATCAAATAATTTTAAAATTTTACGCGTTATATTTTAATATTACTCTTACGATTAAATCTTTTTTCCAATTTCAAACGAATTAATAAAAACTCGAAATTTTACAATTTATTTTATAATTTATTTACGAATACTAAAAAATGTTCGAATTCAATCGTTTTATACTAACAAAAGTTTACTTTAAATAGATCAAAATCAATGAATATATCCAGCGATTTTAATAACTTATAACAATTCTATTTTCGAACAATATTAACGAATATTAAAAACGCGATAGAAAAAGTAAATAAATCGATCGTTTACGCAAACAATTTCTTTTTATTCATTTTACGGTTTTTGTACTATATTCAAAGAATTATAGTTACCAATTAATAGAAGATTATACACGACAATTAAACAATTATATTCTCGAGTAATACGAAAAAACAAAGTACGATTAATTTAATAATTATCTCGAAATGATCGATTTTTTTAATAATTAATAATCGTATTAAAAACGATTTTATTACTTACTATTTTCTTTTTGAAAATCTTATATAAACTTCTTTTGATTTGACGCGTTTATAACTAATATTTATATAGAGAATTGATACACTAAAACTATCGAAATTTACTATAAACTTTCTTTTTACGACAGTAAATAACGTTTTTTGTGAAAAAGCTTTTTTTACTATAAATTTTTTTTATAATAAGTTTCGAATACGTATAACGTTAAAATATACGAATATATTAATATTTATATATATAAATACTCGATTTTTAAAAAAAGTAAAAATATTAAACGTGAAAACTTTTAATGATAAAATATAGAAAGAAAATAAAAACGATATTTTTTTTAATTTGGAAGATAACTTGATTACAATGGATATAGAAATAGAGATAAAAACGATAATTATTGAGAAAGAGATATAAGATTATATTGTTTTTGATTTTGAGAATATATATTTTCATATATAATTATACTTTGTTTATACACTCTTTTATGCATATTTGTAACCGGGTAATTATCTCAAACTCATTATTACGTATTGGTTCAAAAGCTTATTATTTCGTAACGTAATAATTACATTTTCTCGATCCCTAACTCAGCCTGAAGCAATCAAAAGGCCACCGAAGTATCGGAATAACAGATCTTCCGAACAAAGCCTGTTTCCTTGAAGGCTCGACGCCATCAACGTTCAAACCCATTCAAACCATCCATCTCCTCCACGTGCATCCTCATCTCAAGAGAGCCTCACCATCATCACAATGGTGCTGAATGCTCCTCTCTTCCTCTTTCTACAATGCGACTAAGCACCACCCGGATCGCCCGCCGCCTACGATCCTCCCTCCTAACGTTCTTCAACACCATTCAGAAGCTACTCCAAACCTCCTCAATCCCCCACAAACACATCAAAATCGACGACGAAGAACGCTTCTTCTCTCCCTCCCAGTCCTACCAACTATACCAACCTCGATCCTCACTCGCTCACATGATCAAAATGCTCCTCCTCCTCCTCCTAACCCTCATCATTCTCATCTTATTACTCATCTACACAATCTACAAGCCGCCCACCTGGCTCGTATCCTTCATGTCCTGGAAAAACCCAGATGTTCTTTTTCACGTCCCGATTTCGAAAGCGAATCACGTGGTGGGGTTGACGATCGATGATGCGCCTTCTTCTGAGACGGGGGAAATTCTGGATGTGTTGAAGAGATATGATGCTAAAGCTACGTTCTTCATTATTGGGAGTCAGGTTGCTGGTTATGAGGGGATTTTTGAGAGAATGAGGCAAGAGGGGCATGAGGTGGGGAATCATGCTTGGAGGGATGAGCCTAGTATTAGGTTGGAGAGTGAGGTGTTGAAACAACAGATGCTGGACGTGGAGAGGATGCTTCTCCCCAACTCAAATGGATTGAAATATTTCAGACCAGGATCGGGATATTTCAATAAGAAGATGGTTGAAATGGTGAAGGAGATGGGGTATAAAACTGTATTGGGAGATATCTTCCCCTTTGATCCTGTGATTCCGAAACCGGGGATCAATGCGAAGCATATTTTGAGTATGTTGAAGCCTGGAGGGATTATCATTGTTCATGATAGGAGGAGCTACTCGGCTGGGCAGTTAGAGATTGCGTTGAAGGGGATGAAAGAGCGCAGTTGGAAGACCGAGTCACTTGGTGGGTTGTTGAAGATTGCTGAGGAAGAAAGGAAACAGAAGGCTGGATGAGCAAGCAGTATATTCTAGAGAATCTGTTATGCTGTTGCCAGTTTGTTTTGCGTTGCTTGCTTTGATGCCTGATTATCTTCATTGTCTATCGTGTGGGGAGAACACGGACGTGCTCAAAATATCCCAGCAAGTGCGAGACATTCACCAGACAGACAGACAGCCCCGCCCTCCCCATTCTCACAAAGCGCTGGTCTAGTCTTTGCTTGGACGGCTCTCTCCCATCTTCACTTCACGCTCTCATAAGGCGCCAATCGCTTCCCTGTCTTTCCGATCTCACCATCACTTCAGAAATCAAAAGAAGCAAAAGGAAGGATGCAACTCCTCCATCCTAATCCTTTTTCTCTCTTCAAATCTAAAAGCCAAAAAGTATCACTTGGTTAGATCAGGACTCGAACCTGAAACCAAATCCATTCCCAATCCATCCATCTAGCACACCCGCTAAGGTCCAGGACTCCCAGGTTTCACCTAAGAGCCCGCTAGCATAGAGGTCAAGGAGGATCTGCGCTAGCCAATTGCGCCATCTAACCTTTGTTTCTTTGATGAATGAGGTTGTGCGTATTTATCGTTATACGATTGGAAGAGAGGGGGCGGGGAATTGTCGGCTGAGAGGGATGGGAGGTGAATATGTAAAGAGAGAAAATATAGGGGAGGGGAGGCGAAGAGGAAAAGCTCGCTTCAGCCTCCTTTATCCTCTCTGCGACTTAACTTCACACCTCGCTTGCCTCTTCTGGATCTTCCCGTCCTGCAAAAAAAAAGCCCCTTCTCTCTCTCCTCTGACCCTTCCGCTCCTCTTCAAAAGTTATCCAAAGAACAAAATTGAAAAAGAGAAGATCTGGTCAGATCAGGACTCGAACCTGAAACCTCACTTATCACTGAACAATCTTTCTAGCACATCCACTGGATCCAGTTCTCCTGGTGCCAAGAGTAACGCTAGCATAGACGTCCCAGCAAGTGCGCGCTAGCCAATTGCGCTATCTGACCTGAGGGTGTTGTTTGTTGGAGGAAATTTTTGGTTATTTAATACGATACGGATGCGAAGCGGTGGTGAGGAGAGGCGGGAGATCCGATGATATGCCGAGTTGTGAGGGAAGGAAGAAGGGGGTTAAAGAGTTGAAGCGAGATCGGGAAGGGTGAAGGTGAGAGGGCGGTTGCTACTTGAGTTATAATACCGAGGAGCAGGGATGAGGAAGGGTCGTCGATATCAGTCTTGAGCGCGGTTTCGGTATTACCGGTATTATTCAGTGAGGATTTTCCGGGTTAAATAACCGGTGAGAATATAAATTTCGGGAAGAAAAAAGACGGTTTTGATTGAATATTCAGAAATACCGGTTTTTGGAAGGAGAAATGAGGATATATTATACAACAAAAGGATCATTTTGAGCAGCGCTAGGAACAATAAGAATAGGGACTGTAGGCGGGATAATATTTCTATCCTCATCAAAGAAAATCTCTTTCTCATTATCGATTTCGATTAAAAACTCCCAATTTCTCAAACACAGTACGTATCGCACGTTTTTACTAGATATTTTTGTTCGTCGTTTTGAGATTAAAAAACCAATGTAATTGAACGCGCGTTCGAAAAGAGTGGAGGTTACAGGGATGGCGAGGAAATCGCGGGCTATTTGACAAATAATAGAATATTCGTAAACTTTATTGAGTAAATAATTTTTTATCTTTTCGTAAGTGATCTTGATATTAAAAACGGACTCTTTAAACCACCGTTCAAGCTCAGTATTAGCGATAACCAAAGGCTTTTTAGCGCGTTGAGCAGTGACGTGTTTTGCGTAGTCGTGATGTGAATTGTTCCTCCAATCTTTATTATTTTCTTCGATAGGAGAGGGAGTTCGTTGATTTTGCGCGATACGCTGGCGCTTTACTTTTTATTTTCGCTTTTGTACAATTGCAGCGATCGCGACAGATTTACGTTTGTACTGATTGTAAACGTACTCGAAGTGTGTTTTCGCCTTTTTATATTGCGTCGCGTTGATTTTATTTTCGTTGTCGTACATATAAAAAACGTAATTAAGTTTGTATCGAGGGTCGCAAATTAGAATAATGAAAGAATGACGTGTTACGAGAGATTTTTTATAGTATTTTTCGAGGACTTTGTAATCAGTGGTAGCGGCAAATTGAAAGAACGGTTTATCGTTTTGAACTTGGAAAATTTGCAATTGTTGTAATATATGGAGATAATTGGGAATTGTATTGTGAAAAGTTAAATATTTTTCGACTTAAATTTAAATCGTAAATCGTCGAAAAATATTAAAGAAGATCGCGATTTGCTTTAGTATAGTTTAATTTTTATTAATTGACGTTAAATGCTTATAAACAAACGCATTTTATTCTTGGAATTGTAGTACAACTCGTAAAAGTTTTTTCATTTTAATTAAAGTTTTGATTAGTTTGTTAATAAAGTTTTAACGAATAAGTATATCATTAAAGAATTCGTTGAAAAAAATGTTTAAACTTTTGTATATTTTTTTGAATTTTTGATGTAATAGTTTTTTACCTTTGAAAATAAAAGCGAAACAATAAAAAATAAAGAGAATAAAATGCTTATTACTATCAATAGAATTTATTGTTTTTTCTATAGTTTAAACATAATATAAACGACGTGTATTAGGTTCAAATTTAATAATTGTAAAAATTGAAAAATATTAAAGTATATTTTTACTTATTTTAAATGTTTAATATGATTTATAATATTAAAATAAATCGAGTGAAATTGAGCGCGTTTTATTGCAATATTTGATTTATTATATTCTTATACAAATTGTATAGTAAGAAATAGATTCGATATTGAAAAAAGATAAATTTCACGTATTTATTTAAATCGCAATATTATAAATATGCGTATAATAATAAACTTTTTTTTTAGAGCGATTAAATCGTAGAAAGTTAAACGCTTTATTTGCTTTTTTTATCTCTTCGTATTTTTTCTCGACGATAGTTTCAAATTTTTTAAGTATTGTATTATTAGAAGTAGCGTTATTTCGAGTAATAGCGATAATAGTATAAGTAATATTGAATCGATTTATAATTATTAAAAGTTTCTCGTAGAAATATTTTTTATTATAAAAAGTTTTTTCAAATTTAATAATATTCAAAAAAATAAAAATATACTTTTTTACTTTCGTAATAATATGTTTTATTACAATAGAGTAATTTAGTTTATTGTTTTCAAACTATTTATTCGTTGTAAAAAAGACGCGTTTATCAGATTCCATATGTGCTTAAAAAATATTATATTGTTCTTTTTTTTTTGCTTCGTATTGTACTTTCAAATCGCTTATTAATAGTTTGCAAAAAATTTGCTTCGTCGTAGAAAAAAAAAATTTGATCAAAGCTCGTATTTCTAATTGGTCGACGATAGAGAAGAATAAGTTGTTTTTGATGATCCATTCGAGTAATAAAAAGCGATATCGTTCGTTATAAGTTTGATCGGATTCGGGTTTCTGGAAATGAAACTTTTTACCAGTTCTTTTCATTCTGGACTATTCATCGACTTCTTTTTGGTTTAAAGAGATTGCTAGATAATACTTTTGATAGTAGCTTTTGTAGTTATTCGTTTCTGTCAAAGAACGATTAGTGAGTTTAGACTCGTAAGTCGTATATCCTGGCTGGGAACATGTTACAATCATCATGCAGTGATTAGGCTCATAGACGGAGCGATTGTAGAGAAGGTGTAAACCTTTGAAGAAGAACGCGTTCGTAGGTTTAAGAGGAGGGGCTCTCTTCTTAGGACGGTTGTGAGGTGGTAATGTAGGTGCATTTTGATCAGAAGAAGTGGGAACTCTGTTCCGCTTCGGAGAGGTCTGGAAAGGCTCTCGGGGGTGCAGCTCTTTTTTAGGAAAACCAGAAAAAGTGATGGGAGGTTGTCGGGACATATTTGATTCGTTTTTAGATGGAATAAAGGCTGTAAATGGGCTGTAGGTGGTAGTATTAATAATGATGATTCTTTATAGTGCTGCTGTTTGTGCGAGATTCTATTTAGAGCTAAAGAGCAACCGAGCAATTCTATTGGCTGCGGGGCCGGACTTACAATTTTACGAGTCACCTGACTGAATATTCAGGTAATTATTCAAATACCGTTAAATTATTGAATAACCATTCATTCAACGGGTAAAGAATAAGTTATTTATTCAGTATGGTCACGGTTTTTACCGGAAATACCGTGCCCAAGACTGGTCGATATCAGGTGGAGCAGGACATTTGCTTGTTAGAGACTCAGTCAATTTTACATACTCATGGCTACTCTTACGGACACACGGCTAATCAGGCCTGCGGTAAATCACGGAAAGAGAATGATGCAAGCAAAGAGGGACATTAATGTGAACTCTTGTCATACTATGTACATGAACATGGCGCTTCTGCAAACACCCAACGCTATGCTGTGCAACAATGAATGCAATAAGCATCTGCTCCTTCTCCAATGCATCGCTTCCCTCCCTTCCTTCAAATCTTAAGCAACTGTCAAGATCCTGAACTCCCCAAACTCCAGGCTTTGAAGACTCAATCTTAACCCATACCATAACAAAGAAGATATGCCTCCCCCATAGAATTCATCAACCCCAAAGCACCACCTCTCCAGGCTCTAATTTGCCCTAAGCCCATCATAACCAGCCGCAACCCTCTGCCCAACCCTCCTATGCCCCTCCTCCTCCCCCTCCCACAATCTTAATCCCTTCGCTTTCCCCAAAGGATCACCCCTAAACTCCGCCGAAACAGGAGAACTCTTCGCTTTCCCTAGTGGGTTCACCCTATATCCCAACTTTGTAGAATCCCCATACCCATCTTCATCATTGAACTTGAGGTCAAACTTCCTCAAAGCCTCATGTTTGCCGGATTTGGAGCTTGTGCTATGTGGCGTCGGAGTCGTCGGCAGAGTTGAAGGTGAGGGAGAAGGCGATGGCGATGGAGTGTGGGAAGAAGCCTGAAATGAAGAATCGAGATCTACGCTCCCACCCTGAACATTACTCCCCCACCTAACATGTCCCTTCTTCCTCCCTTTCCCCTCCTTCCCCTTCCCTCTGCCACCAACCCCAAAATTCCCCTCCTCCATCTCGGTTTCCATATCCCTCAATTTAACCGCCACCGCACTCTCCCCAAACTCCTGCTCTCGTATCGCTTGTAGTAATCTTCTTCGTCTGTATTGTTTCCGCATGTACCATCCTAAGAGGCAGAGAGAGACGATTGTGACGAGAAGGACGAAGGCGTCGATTATTATGGCTACGCGGTAGGATACTGGGAGGCCGTTTGTGGCGAAGTTCCAGACTTTGCTGGTTGCCGAAGAGCCTGGGGGATGGCCGGGTGGAGGAGGTGGAGGAGGAGGGCTGTCGGGCATTTCCATTCTTGATTCTAGGGGGCTTTGAGGGAGGTTAGCCTGGGGTTTGAGAGAGGGGATGAGGGCAGGAAGGATGGGAAGGGATACGTACCTAGTGTCTAGATTTGGCAGTGCGAAACCAATTGAGAAGAGCGTGCTAAGTGCGATTGCAGAATTGAACGGCATGGCTATCGAATGAACCATGATTAAGGGTTGTCGTACTCCGGATCGAATGGTGCGCGTGTAAAGACAGCTGGCGAAATGCGAAAGCAAGGGAGGATCAGAAAATGAGTGGTCTGATCGGACCCAATTGACGAAGCACAGCAACAAAGAATGGAAAATTAAAGGAGCGTAGAAAGGTTTGATCACTTCAAAGCATCACAGCGACAGAGACAGTCAGAATCAGATCGAAAAATAACAACAGACGTTGAATGAAGGTGGTAACCTTAAATCACGATGCACGGCAACGGATTTAAGAAAAAAAGGACCCCTTGACAGAAACGGGAACACCAACCTAGTCGCCGCTCCGTACTCCGGAAGGCCGGTACGAACTACGCCCGAAGAGGGAATTAAAAAGTATTGGAGGCGTTCGGAAAGGGGCGGGATTGGGTGGATGGAGGGACGTTTGATGAGCTTATTTGGTTTTGTCGAATCTGGG